ACAAATAAAGAAAGAAGTAGGGCCATATTCTAATAGATTTCTATGGAGTCTGACTTTGTTTCGCAAACGGAGGAGTCGCCCCCTGCTGGTTGTTTGACAGAAGGCTTAAGGCACATTAGCTTCAATTTCTTTAATCTTGTCTGTGTCACTGCTGATACGGTTGGTTTATCAGGCTTTTTGGCCTCTGCTTACTATTATTTCAAACAATTTTAAAATGAGAGAGGCGAAATAAGATAAATGTTCCACCAAAGCAAAGATCCTGAGATGCTAAAATCTCAGCAGAGCAAATAATGATTTTAAAAAGTGTTACTGCAAGTGAAGCCTGTCATAGTTTACATAATAATTTGATTAACGATAATACAGAAGATGTTTTTTTTTTTTCAAAATTCCTGTGGTTGCAGTAGAATTTCTTTTAGTGCTAAAATACATCAAACCTCCATGTTTTCCTCATAAAAACTCAGAGCGCCTGAGATGTCTTATTCAGACTTTGACCCGTCTGAGTGGAAGACCTCAGAGACATGAAGAGTGTTGCCTTTTCAAGACTTGAAAGCAACTTGTTGTGATTTGCTCACTTTTCTTTCCCTCTCACAACCTGCCCATGCCTCCCGCTCGCCCTCAGGACATCTGACCCCCCTGTGGTTTCCAGCTCCGTGAATGACAGCTACCCATTTCACCTCGTTTTTAATTACGCTCCAACCCCTCAATTTACCTGCCCGAAACTACTTCAAAGAAAGCCTGCATGCTCGCACAAAAGCTCCCGATGATTGCACTTCCTTTTCCCCACGACCAGCCGAGAGTGTGAATTGAAAGGATCAAGTCTAATCCGGCTGCTTAAAGACTTGTTTTTTTTTTTTTAGTTCAATGTGTCACTCAAGAGTCTTTTTGAAAACTGTGCGTTTGTGTTTGGGAATGCAGCCCGTGGGATTTTAGGACGTCGCTCCGAGGTTTCTTTGTGTTTAATGTGTGGTCGTGTACGCTCGTAAACCCTGTGCGTTGCAGCTTGTGCGCGGTGATGAGTGTGCTGGATGTGCGTGTCTTTGAAGTGCTCACACCTGTCGTAGGCCTTCATGAGAGCAGTGATTCAGCCGTCGAGCGGAGCGCCACAACAGCTCCAGGTCTGTTTACACTGCAAACACAAAGAAACAAGGGTCACCGCCGTGTCACACCACCTCGCGCTGCATGTTGCGAGTCCGTTTTTTTGTGCGTGGGCTCGTCTTTGCGGGATGAATAGATGCACTTGAGTTTCACAGCGGCGAGGAAACAACTTATATTTGAGTTTTTACTTGTGTATTGAGAAAGTTTACATGGATCAGGTCACTGGGAGAAATCAGGTTGCATCAGAAATCGGATAACACATTGAAGTGAAGCGTTGCACTAACTCATGCTCACATGTTGCAGGTCAATAAGCAGATTTCTCTCCATGTTTTGAAGCTGTTGCTTTTGTCTCTTGAGTTGTATTTTAGGTTGAGCTTGCAAATGTTCCCTCTCACATTCTGACAGTTGTCAATATACAGTTGTGGGAAAAACATATTTATATGACTGTGCCTTGGTAAGCACGTACAATGATGAAAAATACATTTTAAAAGTACATTTACATGAGTACTGTACTAAAATACTTGAACTTCACTTGAGTATTTCTATTTTCTGCTGCTTTATACTTCTACTCTGCTACAGTTGAGAGCCAGATGTACTTTTTACTCCGCTGTAGGTATTTGACGACTTTAATTTGTAGATTTAGTTTAATTATGCAAAAATATAATCAGCGAATAAATTGTACAATAATAAGGATGAACTGTATTGATCCCTGAGGGGGAGTTCACAAGCTAATCACCAGTTGACCTGAAACTATTGATTGTTTTTGTCGTCAATTAAGCTGTTGATTGTTTGGTCAACTAATCGATCAGTTGTTTGGTCAATACAGTGTCAGAAAATGGTTAAAAAAAAGTCAATCAGTGTTTCCTAAAGCTCAAAATAACGTACTTTGATGTCTTGTTTTGTCCCCAAAGAGATTCAGATAGAAGATATGCTGTCGTAGAGGAGGAAAGAAAATATGAAATATTCTCATTTAAGAAGCTGGAATCAGAGAAGTTTGACTTTTTTCTTTAAAAACAAAAAAGCAAACCAGTTAATCTGTTATCAAAATAGTTTAAGTTGGTTTGAAATAGTTTAAAAGTCTGTCTTTTTACATGACACCTTATCGAATAATCAATAAATAAACCATATAAAGTAATTAAACCATTTTTAGTTTCAACATTATAGTGATGAAGACATTAATGCATCAATATTTACAATCTGGTATGATACCCTGTTTATTTTTAAACAGGGGACTTTGCTAAATTTGTATATTTGCAATTTAAGTGCATTTGATATAAATGTTTTTGTACTTTTTGCACGACTTCTCTTTGAACAATGTATTCCTACAGCATAGTATTGCAGTATTGGTACTCTGACTTGCATACAAATGTCACTACCACTTCCACATATCTGTACACATGAGTCCACATATAGGCTGAATAATCAGAAAATGTAATCTTGGTAATACCATTTGGACCAGTGGAAGTCAGGTTTATCTAATCCTCCACCACTTTACTGAACCTGGATTTCTTGTTTACATGAAGAAATCAGATTACTGCAGAAAGCTAACAGTAGCCTGGCTACTTAAACGCACTGATCACCTCTTTCCTGTCATCTGTTCGACAGGCTGGCCTGCCAGTTTTTGAGTTTGTGTGAAAACGAGTCGTAGAGGGAGAGGTGTCTTTATTTAGACAAGCTGCCACGCATGTTTCTGATCCCTCTGGGGGACGAAGCCGCTCTGAAGTTGCACTTGTCAAACCGAGTCTTTTGCAGTTTACAGACGAGCCCAACAATGCTGCAAATCAAGACAGATTCACGAGGTATCAATTTCTCAAAAATAACTCTTCTTTTATGAGGAATAATGTGCTGGGCAACTTGTCTGCAGCCTTTCTGTGCCCCCCCTTTTTTTTTTTAATCTCCTCAGAAATAGAAACTCACTGCTCTTGATGTGAGAGAGGAGAGTGTAAGAGAAAGAGTTTGGCGACTAATTATGAAGGAAGCTATTCAGATTATTCAGATGCTTGCTCTGGCTCCCTCCTCTCCTCCCCCCAGGCAGTGAAGGGTCTTTTCTGTCCCCAGAGAGTGATGTCAGCATGGCCCATTGAAAACAGCCGCCGTGTGCTCCGAGATGAATGCCCCGGCTGAGCACAATGGCCCCAATTTGAATACCACGCGGATATATGCCAGATCGGAGCCCCAACAAAAGAAGGAGTGCTACTCTGCTCCCATTCAACCATGCAGTTATTTTATTAGAGCTGTAAACTTGCTCCAACCATTTGCACCTTTTGTAGTTTTCAAGTGTTTATGGAGTTTCAAACACGTGGACGAGCCGACGTGGGTCGACCCCGTTTTGGACTGGATTTTTTTTTTGTTTCTGTTGGCTCATAACTGAACACGGTGGTTTGTGTTTTGTGTCTGACGGCAGATTTACACGGACTGGGCCAACCACTACCTTGCCAAGTCAGGACACAAGCGTCTGATCAAGGACCTGCAAACAGACGTCACAGATGGAGTGCTGCTGGCGGAGATCATACAGGTCGTAGGTAAGCAAACACACGTTTTGATTCCAAAATCGGCTGAAAGGAGCCAGCTCCGATGTGAGGCGCGCCACTAGTTTTAAAGATACGGCTGACTTTGGCCAAACAGACAGCTGCAGTCATCGCCGTCAACTTTTATTCAGTCGACGTTAGAGAATGAAACCATTCTGTGCTATTATCTGATGTAATATTGAGTCATGCAAAGAGATTTTTACTGATGCAAGTGAAGTAATTTCCTCTATAAGATGCTAAAAGCCAGAACAAAACAGTATTGTGGAGGAAAAACTTCTGGTGAGATGCAGACTTCTTTAGTAAAGAAATATGAATTACTGTGTAAGATCATAAAGTAAGGAACAGAAATACTGAAAAATTTTTAGTTGTACTGAACCCTAAAAAAATATGTTTTGGCTCAACAACAACAACAAAAATGCACCAACAGTGTGCATCAGTCTTTTTGAGTTATGACAACTTTTAATGAAATTATTTACAACCAACCAACTACGCTGAGTTGAGTAATTTGCTTTTACACTGCAATTGAAAGTATTATTTTAAATTTCCTAATAATTAGTAGCATAAATACAAGATTTTTAGTTGATTAGTGATAAATATTAATTTGTGCCAACTAGTATTTCTATGTTATTTAAAATATTTTTTAAAGTATCATATACTAAATTTCCATAGTTATGAACACATTTTTTTTTTTAAGTTGACTTAAAGTTACTCCAATGTTGAGTAGAGGAAGGAGGAGATTTAATATTCTGACCTCAAAGTGAAGAAAAATTAGATTATCAAGCTAATTTTACGAAGTTACTTCAACTTGAGTTAAGTTTTAATTTATTTAATGCAGAAATTTGAGTTTAAATTACAAATATTATGAAGTTAATGCAACATTGTGTCAAGTCAACTCATAAAAACATTTGTTTGCAACTTAAAATGAGTATAAGTAAGCTTGCAACTATGCACGACTAAATTTGATGACAATGCGTCATCTGAATGACTTCTTAGAGTGTTTAGCTTTACTATGTCTCATATAGCAACTCTGATGTTGGTATAGACACAGTTTCTCTCCCTCAGTCTTTTAAGGAAACTCATGAAACTAGTTGTTTTTGTATAGATGTACTTATGTTTTCAAGTCTTGTGATCCTAAATGGAACAGAATAATTCATAATTAGTCAACAGCAGTTCACATGACAGCATTAGTATGAAGTTAGTCATCCTGGTGTGATCTGTGACAGTGGGCTGCTCCTCAGTGTTTGGGACCTTCGTCCTCGCCTGTGTCATCATCATCATCATCATCATCAGTCTTGTCATCTCGTCTGGCCGTCCTCCGCCTGTCATTTCGATCATCATCATCATCATCAGTCTTGTCATCTCGTCTGGCCGTCCTCCGCCTGTCATTTCGTCTGCCGGCAGCCTCGAGGCCGAAACAGGCAGACACCAGCTGACCGGTGACTCAGCGTGTCACCGACTCTCTCTGACCCACATTTTATACTTCCCCGTTTTATGAGGAGTGTCTCTGTTCTCGTACTGTATGACCTTTTCTTCTTTTTAGCTGCAGCAAGCTCAAGGGCATTCTATGCTATTTTTAACACTTTGTGAAATTCATTTATGCTGCACGCCTGTTGGTGCACCAACCAAATCCTAAATATTTGGTGAGAGCAGAGGGGTGCAAGTTGCTTCAAGTACATTAATATACAATCCTGCACCCTCAGTAAAGGACTGTAGAGTGAATGAGTTTGTTATAGTGTTTACCTGAAATATATTAGCACCCAGCTGACCAGAAAGCTCCACCTGGATCAGAATGATACGGATTTGAAAGTCTTTTTCTATCCAGGATCAGTTAATCCATCTAACTTTTGGGATCGATCACCCTGATTTGAATACAAACTTTTCAAGATTATCAAATCCGGATAACTCGAGCTATAAACGGGACTTCGTATCACAATGTGGACCACTAACTATGTAAAGAACTACAGCTACAACTGCCACCATTTGATCAATTTAAGAGTTTATGAAGAGAAAGAAAACACAATAAAGCAATACAAATATTTTTTTTGCTTCTTTTAAACAGTCAGACCTCCTCTGACCCAAAACAAATGCAAACAAACAAGCACATTTAGTACAAGTTCCTCATAAAAAGGTTAAATCTGCAATTAAATAACTACATTCAGAGTTTATGTTTGTGAAGAGATGTCAACCCTGCCTTCTGCCTTCTGCTGGGATCAGGATAATCCACATTCTTTTTTTTTACATCACAGGTATCCTACTAAGAAGTTCTAAACAGCACATACTGACGGTTAAAATCAAAACCAAGACTGGATTATGTGATCAAATCTGATTTCAGAACAATTTTTGTCTCTTAAACAACCCATTTTCAAGATTTGATCCAATTTGATAGATGAAGTTCAAACAGATGAACTGCTGGGACCGGGAGCTGCACTCAAACTTCTGTTAGTCAGATTCAATTATAGAAACCTACACAAACTCATTTTATTGTTTTATTTAATTTATGTATTTAAATGGGGGCTGGAGAGAGATTAGACGTGCCATAAATATCCACTTGGCTGCAAAGTCGTGATTGTATTTCCTCTTTGACGTGGAACCAGACCGTCTTTCTGGCTTGTGTTTGGTGAATCTGTGTCATTTCGTACTTCATTAGTCGTGAACTTGAATATTTATTATCCATCTGAAAGTTCCTCCCCCTCATAAGACTCTCTGCATTCTTGAAAATGCACCCTGAAAGCGTCGATATAGAAGATATGCCCTCCAGCCAACAGCTGACTGCTGCTCCGCTCTCAAATTAAATCAGCACCAACCAGTTCCATCCATTCACCTGTTCTGCCCTGCCTCTCTGCCTGCTGCCTTCTGTCCTCTGGGAAAACCTCGCAGCGCACAATCGCTGGTGAAACCGGAGCAGCACGCTTGTGTCGGAGCAGCCACAGTAGGTCAAACCGACCGGATGTGGCACCTGTTTAGCTGTTTGACCAACTTACGCTCAAGGTCAGGAGTTTGGAATTTTAAAAAAAAGGAAAACCTACAGATTGAGGTTATAACCAAGTTCTTATAGACGACCCTGAGGATAATCTGTCCAGTACATTTCAGCCCAAGTCTGCAGCTTTTTGAGACATCTGACTTCATCCTCAGCTCTCAGTCTGACTGCAGGTTTGCAAGCTGTTCACTCCAGCTCGTGGTGTGCACAAGGAAACCAGACAAAATGTATTTGTTTATTGGTTTTCGCTTTATTTTTAGTTTTAAATGTGTATCTTGAAATCACAGAGTGGCTGTCTCCTGTGGGTGCTGGTGTCTGCAGAGTGTAATTTTTTTCAGGAAGCACACAAACCAAAGTCAACAGTAGTAGTGTTAAATCATTGATAAACGTCCTAACACTGTTTTTTGTTTCGGCTATTTTGGAGTTTGGCTTTCCATTATGAAAACTGTAATGATAGAAAAGATAAGAACCGATGCTGGCCTCGTGCAGCGGCTTTTCAACACCAGGTTTACGCATTCTTTTAGGTGGTTAGTTTGACCTTTTAGTCTTTACTTTATCTAAATGTGATTTGGTAATTTGATAAACTGGAAAAATTAACAACCCCAAGTAGTTTCTGGATGTTTTTTCCCCTTTTTTAATTTTTATTTTTTATTTTTTTACTGCAATTAAAAGTCAGGCAGCTCGACAGAAACCATGGTTAGAAGGAGAGGGGATCAAAATTGTTTTTTGTGCAGTAAGATGCAGTTATAATGTCATAAATCCAACCAAAAAAAGGAAAAGGAAAGTTGTATTTCTTTGTTTTTTTTTTTTATTATATAAAAAAAATGGAAAATAAACATAGACTCCACATGTACGACATTTTCCAAATACCCACAGATGTCAGCAGTGCTGAGGGGAAAAAAAAGATTCTCCACATGCTAAAGATGTTTTACTTAGTACATTTTTAATTTGTCTTTATAATTATCTGTGGAAACACAGTCTGCAGTTCAGCCAAAGAGTCCCTGAATTGTTGTCATGTGACCTGATCACAGCTGAGTCAGTAAAGGTTTCCCAGCAGTGATGACAAGTGCAGAATTTATGGGATTTCACAGAATCTGGCTGCTGCACATTATATATTTTTTAGCAGATTTTTAAATGAGACATGTAGAATAAAAATGATTTTGATGTAATGTCATGATTTTAGGATGAAGACTTGGTTAAGGTTTCTGATAGAATTACACAGATGAATAGTTCACAAACCACAGAACGTTGAAACTCCGACCATTCTTTCTGTTTTTACAGTTTCTGGCTCTGATAAATTGTGCAATTTTGTCGTTTTTTTAAAAGATGAACTGCTTTTTAAACCCGTTAATATGATTTGGGATTCACTCGTGGAGGAAATATGTGACCAAAATCAACATTTCAGGGATCAAAATCCAAAATATCACTTGATCACTAAAGCTGTCTGAAGTCAGTTGGATAAAGGACTGATTTAAATACGCTCCATATTGATTCACCTCAGTGGACGAGCTGCATTTTCTCGCGGTGTAGGTGCAGTACGTGGTCCCGAGGTGGAGCTGCGCCGTGGGCCCCACCGAGCCTCCTGACGCAGGACTCCGTGCTGTTGGCACAGTTGTCAGCTGTGATCTGACGGTCGTGTCTCAGCTGCTGTGGGCTGGGCCTCTAATGGACACACACATGCCTCCTTTGAAAAAAAAAATAAAGGCAGCACAACACTCCTGGCCGGGCCCCCAGCGGCCCCGTTCCCATTTGCTGTGACCAGATAGTGTTTCATGTCTCAGCGGGTGGGGACAGGAGTGGGGATGTGGGGGGGGGGTCAACGGCATGAACACCTCTGCTCTCCTCACTCAGTCTGGGACACACAGTCTGGGATCTCCGCCGGAATAAAGGAGAGGATTACATTAACCGAACACAGTTTTCATTATCTCTTCTTTTGTCTGTCTCTGCTTCCTCTTCAGCCAACGAGAAGATTGACGATATCAATGGCTGTCCCAAGAGCCGTTCTCAGATGGTGAGTCAGGATTGTTTTGTTTTTTTTAAGGAGCATTGAGAAATGTACCTGCTTTTGTGTAAAATGACACTCAGCTTTGATGTCCCATCCCACCTTCTGCTAAAAGTCACTAGTGAATAGTTGTAGGAGGGAATAGTTCGTCCATTTATTTTTACTTTTGTGGTCTTGCGGGCTGCCGTCTGTAAAACCTCTGGCTCAGACTTCTGGCTGTTGGCGCTCAGTTGAAAGCATCACAGGCTTTGGTTTTTTGGGGCCACATCTTATTACACTTGCAAAGAAGACAGCATTCCTCCCATCCTCCGGAGGACGGGAAACACCAGGGCCGATGACAAAGAAACTGTTTCCAGCCAGTTATGATGTGTTTCATTTTTTTAGTCTTTGGTGACATTTAGCAGCTACGTGAGTGGGGTTTCCTCCGTAGCGCTGCTGGTGGCATTTCCAGTGTTTTCACAGTTTTGTGTTCTCTGTGGGAATCGAGCCGAGCATCCCGAGGCAGCGCTGCCCTCCGCTGAATGCGATGGGTCGTAAATTGGGCCAGTGTGCCAGCTGAGGGGGCTATTTTTGGCCACCAGCCAGACTACTGAAGCCTCTCGAAGCAGCAGAGAACGAGAGAGAGACTTACACGCCCCATATTTAACAACTGAGAAGGAGGTGAAAGCACAGCTGATCCCCCCCCTGAACTGTCATTGCTAACACACATACCCACATTGGGCCCAGATTACTATGCGGGCGTCCTGTTCAGTCCTGCTTTGCGTTTTGATGGTGGTCTGTTGTCTGTTACTGATACAGAAAATTCTCCACAGCCTCACGGTGTCAGTCAGGATGTAAAACACAGAGAGGAAGCCTGTATCATGCAGCAGATTCAGTTTAAGGCTCCCAGGCTTCATCGGCCCGACATTAATCATCGGTTAAGTTTGTGTTTTCCTCTCCAGCTGTGAGTGTGTTCGGTGAAAGAGGAAGAGTTGTTAATTACAACTACTTGACATGGTATGAGACGTGAGTAATTACCAGGGATGAGTGTATGTGTCTTTAGTGAAGTGAGCATGTCAAGCAGTTTTGTGTGATGATGAGCAAACTGTTGTGAATGTCTGATGTGCATCAATTTGAAAGTGATGCCAGACTGCTTATTATGCTGAAGCAAAGAGAAGAGGAAAGTAGTTACTACCTGCTGATGTCTATTTGAGCAAAACATTGCAGTTACAACTTCCTGCAGGGGGGCTGGAGTCTATCCCAGCTGACTCAGGGTGAAGGCAGGTTCACCTGGACAGGTAACCAGTCTATCACAGGGCTACACTTAGAGACAGACAACCAAGCACACTCACATTCACACCTACGGACAATTTAGAATCACCAATTAACCTCAACATGTTTTTGGACTTGTGGGAGGAAGAGAACCCACATTGCAAACTTCACGCAGAAAGATCCCGGGTGTCCTCACCTCGACCTTCTAGCTGCGAGGCAACGGTGCTAACCACCTAGACACCTTGCAGCCCAGATGGAAAGTCTAGCAGTGCAAAACACTTTTCCTGATCTTTAGGATTATCTACTGCTCTTTATTACTTATCACTGTATTGTTGTCAGTTATTCCATCCCTGTCAGGATCATGTAGTAATTTGACTGAATTTTCATTTGAAATTTTCATGGAACTCTTGAGTTAAGTGTAAAGTTAGCCGGATAAAAGCCTCCACAAGTTTCAGCCAAGATACATATGACATTAAATACGTCATCTATGAGGGTCAGCAGACATGCATGTGCAGACCTGAACAACTGGAGTTTAAAACAAACACGTTATGAGAAGAAATGAGGAGATTCTTCATCATCCACATCTTCATAATTCATCACTGGAACAGATGTAGTTGAAGTAGTCGCTACCAGACTAGTGAGGTTGCTTTGACTTGTACATGCTTTCCATTAATAGCATCCAAACACAGCAGGAAGTTCTAAATTCTCCAGAAATCCTGTGACTTCTTGCTCGCAGTGCTCGACACACCTCAGGAGTATTGAGTGCTACAGCCCAGCCTGTAACTAGCTGCTGTATCTTGTAAAAAAGTGCAAAGTGACAGGCAGCATTTCAGAAACATCCAGGAGGCTGGTGTATTTTTCTGTGATTGATTCGAGGAGTCATGTGACCGTCTCCATAGCAGACTAACGCATACACTATTTATAGGATAAAGCCCCAGTGATAAACGTTTTGCATCTGCAGATACTCAAGTGTCTACATGATGTAAATTTCATCCTCTCCCCGAGTCTTAGAAAGTCTTCACAGACCACTTCACAGATGTCTGCATGCAGCCCAAAATTAGTGTCCATGTGGTGACTGTGCTTTACGATAGCATGCATGGAATACATAGATACAACCAACATGTGGAACCAAGTCTTCCATTTGCTCCAGCAGGCTACAAAAGTTGTATATTAGCAGCAACTGTGCATCTTTGGTGTCCATGTGCACGTCCATATGGAATCAAGACGGCAGTGGAACTGTGTGTGTATTTGCTTTCAAACCCTCATTGATTGGTGCACTGGGATGCAAAAACCATGAATTGGCCAAAACCCACTCATCTTGTCTTGTGGCACAGGCCCTGTGGTGTACAGTACTGCTATTTACAGATACTGGTGCTGTAAACAAACCTTTAGCGTAACCAGAAAGCAGCTGTTAGTTGTTGTTCACTGGTTCTGTATTTACAAAAACCTGTCAGCAAGTGTTTGTGTGAGCAGGTTTCAATCTCCTGGTTGACTAGACCTATTTCTTAATCTTGATTTTGCACCTTAAAGTCAGTTATTTTTCTGCTTATTTTTATTTTTATAAAGCCTTCAGTTTCCCCTTCATACAACTTTGTTTGAATACTAACTCACACTTGAAAATGGCTCACATCCCTCTGCACTTCCTGTTCCACTCACTGCCATTTAGGCCTTCCCCATTAGCCCTGATTACACCCCCCAGTCAACGGTAATTGAGCGTCTTGCTCTTTTTGGTTTAAGTGGTCTGGACATCTCTGCGGTTTTGTTATCAGCATCCTGTGCCGGCTCGCTCACATCCAACCCCTGTTTCCTCTGCAACTGCAGCAGCTGTTTTTTTTAACGACAAGAAGATTGCAGGTTACATCTGAGACAAATCAAGTGGTTCCAAATATATAGTATGAATCCGACTGCGTTTGGTGTTGGGGTGTGTGTGTGTCAGTCACCAAGAAAGCAAAAAAACAATAATTTTATATTGTGCATTCATGCAGTGTGAATTGCTTATTGGATAGCAGCTGTCAAATATCGTCTTTGATTTAGCATGGATACGCTCAGATGTTGCAGTAAGTGTGTGTTTGTGTGTGTGTATGTGAGTATTATTGGATCTCTGTGTATAATCTCAGTAGGTTTGTCAGCTTTAAAGCTAAATCTGAGGCACTGAAGCAGCGCTAAGGGCAGGTGCAAGCGCAGTCATTATGCAAATGTCTGCTTTGTGTGTTGTAGTACTGTCAAAACAAACACACACACACACACACACGCACACACACACAGGTCCTGAGAGTTTATTTGGCAGCTGGTTTAGAGGAGTGTGAGAGCCCACTTTTCCTGCACTTGATTTCATTGCTTTCAAACTCCCAAAGCTTCCAAAGCTGCTGCCAATTACCACCACTTAACTTAACCTCAGCCTCTGAGCGAATAAACATGGAAATAAGCTCCGTCAGTGGAATAAACTGTAGCGCTCTCACCTCACGCTAGCTGATTAGCATACTGCCCGTCCAGGCCGAAGTGAGCGTCTGTTTTTACAACTGTCACATCCTCGTTAAACGGACCCCCATCGTCGGGTCAGTCCTGTGCCACCCACTCAGCCCCTCTGTGTGTGTGTGTGTGTGTGTGTGTGTGTGTGTGGGTTCAGTCCCGGGTGTTGATTTGACACCGAGCTGTTAAAACCACACAGGAGACGCACAAACAAACATGCACGGGACGTCTCGTCCAAGCATCGAGCTCCGTGGTAAAGCAGCAGATTCTGTAATTAACTGAATTTCACGTGCCAAGGAAAGAGAAATGAACCAAGACGGAACAAGAAGTGTTTGTTAGTCAAGAAGTTTATTTAGTGTTTTTAAAATCCATGCATTTGTGACTTGAGATACTATGGAGTAATTGGAATGTAGATCTAATCTAACTAATCTACTTTACATTCCATTTATTCATCATTGTTTATGACTTCTTGTTGTTGCACAGCTTTGTATCTGCATAAAGATTGATCAATGCTGGATTTGGGGCCGACACTGATTTTTGGAAGTAAAAGTTCTGATATCAATACTTGACTGATATTGCTTATATATACATTAAAGGTATATTGAAAAGGGAAAATAATACCCCAAGCATCTTTTTTTTTATATGGTTTTATGATATATCATAAATCATATATATTGATACTGCTACATCTGACTAATAATGTCGTTCAGGCTCCTTTTTTGACTGGTAGAAAGTAGTTCAAATGAAAGATGTTGGCCACATATTGTGTTGATTAAACGGCACAGTTTCCTCAGAGATTCCTGTTTATTTTTCTCAGAGGATTTAAAAAAAATGAATAAATTCTTGCAGCGCTCTAATCAACACATATAAAATCCCTTTCACCTCCACTGTGTGAGGATTAAAGTGGCGTATCTCAAAACAAGAGCAAATAAAACCAACATTTTCGACACAAGAGTCACATGAGGACATATTATTTTGATAAACCAACTCCAAAATGTCATGATCATTATCATAAGTACTTCAACCGTTAAGATTTTGGACATTTTACACCCATATTTTCACTATGTGGTAAAAAAAAAAAAAAAAGGCTTCAGGTCTTCAGAATAAACTTCTTCTCTCGCTAATAAGGAAGATTGAAAGAGAAGAAAGAAAGAGTGAAAGAGTTTGGGTTTGTGTTACTGAAATGGTTTCTGCCTTGATTTTATCCATTTTGGAGCTTAATAAGATATTATGTGCATCCTTCATACACTATTTGCTTCACTCTTTACTTCTCTATAGTCTGTCTTTAC